GGTGGGGGGGGGTGGGGTTTTCAACTTTTTCCCTTTTTTTCCCCTGAGACTCTTTTTGCTTGCTCCGCCTTTTCCCTCCCTCCCTCCCTCCCTTCCTTTGGGGGCCCCCCCCCCCCCCCCTCTTCTCTCCTCTTTCCCCCCTCCTCTCTCTCCTCTCTCCTCCTCTCATACCTGGTACGCACCCGCCAAACTTGAAGACCAGGTAAACCTCGTGGGGCCGTCGCGTGCTCGTGGCGCGGCGACGGCGAGGAGAGCTGAAGAGAGCTGAGAAGTGGAGATGCAAGCGTCGCAGCAGCGTTTAACGCAGCAGGTCGCCGACTGCGCGCTCGTCTCATCGTCCGGCGCACTGCTCGTACACAAGCATGGTCGCGCAATCGATAGGCACCGGCTGGTGATACGCATCGGCTTGTCTCCGGTTGCCAGCTTTGAGGGGCATGTCGGCTCAAAGACCGATGTTCGATTTGTTCAGCTCTCCTTTTTTTGAGGCCTGGCGCAACATGAGCACAGCGAAGCTGCGCGCGACCTTAGTGGGCGACCGATTGTCGACGCCAAACGCTTCCCTAACCTTCACTGGCACTCAACACGAGATTCAAAAACTAAAGCTCAAACAGCGTGCTACCGAGTTCATGCAGCACGAGCTGGCTGGGCTTCCGTACTCGGCCCTTATGCCGACGCCCATGTGCAACATGACAGGATGCCGCGTGAGAGGCAGAGATATATCAAAGCGTCGATACCCGAGCAGCGGAACCCTCGTCCTGCAGTTAATGTTTGACGCACTCACTTGCACGTCAGTGCGCCTTTATGGGTTTGATGATCCTGACCATGGCCGCCATCCGTACCATTATTGGAGAGATGGCTCGGTTCACGACGGCCTCAGTAGTGTGGAGTTCTACAGGCGTAAGCTTGCCCGTGGTCCTGGGGACCACGACTTCGAAGCCGAACACTGGTTTATGTTCCATGTGCTGGGCAACAACTCCTGGACGGTTCACTCCCAAACATACCGGCGAGAGTGTGTGCGCTCGTCTCCGGCTCCGGCGTGCATCAACGCTGCGCGAAGTACACGAATGCTCTGAGCCTCCTTCAGAGACCCACACCACTTCCAAATGGTTCAAAGTAAGAGGCCAGCGGTGGTATCGTGGAGCGTGGAGCTCCATGTGCACAGCTGGTACAACGTAGAGTGTAGCATGCCCACGCTGCGACTCATCATGTCGATACATTTCGTTTCCCACACGAAACTCCTACACGCAAGTCCACACCGGCATCACCGCGCGCCCACCCGCTGCCCCGCCCACCGGCCGCCCAGGCGGGAAAGAGATGAGGAGATGGGACAGCGAAGGAGGAGCCTCAAACACGTATGGGAGGGTTCAGTAATGCGCCACGCTGCCCGGCGTCTCTCACTTTCCGGGACAGCCCCGCCCTTTTGAGGCAGGAGAGTGACGGCTACCCCGTACGCCCTGCGGCTGTTTACCCCACCGCTACAATATACTCGTTTATTCATGAGGCGACCCCAGGGAACCGTGGGCTCTAGGTTTCCTAGTGGCGTGCTGTGAACAAACAGCGAAGAAGACGCTGTTTACCCACACAATGCGAGCACATACCGGTTACCCCCCTCGTTACTCGAGCCCACATCCAGAGCCTGGTCTAAATGGCGTTCATGCCCTCGAGCGGCGGCGTGAGCCGACAGCCGTCCGCAGGTGGTGGCGGGCTACCGTGGTTTCTCCGAGCGCCTCCACCTCCGCCCCGCCCGCCACCGTGGTGGTTGCCGGTGCAACCACCGCTTCCGCAGTCGGCGCCGAAGCCTTCCGCGAGCCCCTCCAACCATAACCTCTGGCCGCTCGCCGGCGGACAACGCGGCGGTTGCCGGGTGGAGCACGGCGCGTATGGCTCGGCTGACACAATTTTGGGCGTGAGCGAGGCCGAGTGCCAGGCCCTGTGCCGCGATAGTCGAGACTGCCTCGCAACCGACTACCACTTCACTGGCGGGCCCGAAAACAGCTGCGATCTCCACAAGAAGCCGGTGCTGCACGTCCTCCCGATGGGCGAGCACGCGTGCCGCATCAAGCCCGCCCCGGGACAGAGCGGCTTTCGCGGAGAGACATTAGCCTTCAACGGGGAGGTGACTCACCTGCCGGCGCCTCCCCTCCCTCGGCCGCCTCCGTCGCCACCGTCGCCACCGTCGCCGCCATCGCCGCCGCCATCACCGCCGTCGCCACCACCACCGCCGCCGCCGCCGCCGCTGCCTCCCTCGCCACCGCCGCCGCCACCACCGCTGTCGCCGCCACCACCGCCAACTCCACCGCCACCGGACAGCCCGCTACCGCCGCCGCCCCCGCCGCCGCCGCCGTCGCCGCCTCTCTCGCCGCCGCCGACGCCGCCGCCAGGGGTGACACAGCCAAACCCACCGCCACCGATGCCGCCCTGGCCGCCGGGGCAGCGGCCAGAGTCTCCCCAGCCCCCGCTACCGCCGCCGTCATTGCCACCGCCCCCGCCGCCGCCGCCGTCGCCGCCTCTCTCGCCTCCAGCAACGCCGCCGACGCCGCCGCCGCCGAAGCCGCCGCCGACGCCGCCGCCTCTCTCGCCTCCAGCAACGCCGCCGCCGCCGCCGCCGCCGCCGCCGCCGCCGCCGCCGCCGCCGCTCGCCCCACCCCAACCCTTCTACGCCGACGGGACGGTGCGGACAAGGTACGAGACCGTGGCGCCCGTCCTCAAGGAGCTGGAGAAGGAGCTGGGCGCGCTGCTCCCTGAGCGGTGGGCCCAGAAGGTCGCCGAACACGGGAGCGCGGTGCGCGAGTGGAGCCTGCGCCCCCTCGGCGACTCGCTAAAGCTAAACTTGGACGACCGGAACCGGACATCCACTCCGAGTGCTCTCCCCCCTCTCCTTCGCGATCTCGCTAAAGCTAAACTTGGCCAAGCCATCCTCGCCAGTTCCCCGCTGAAGTTGGCGCTGGGAGTAGCCGGGTGGCTCTTCCTGGCGCTCTGCTTCTACCGCTGCTGCTGCCGGCGGCGCGAGCCGCCTCACAAGCGGCTCGTGGAGCCCGACGAGGAGGAGGCGCGGGGCGGCATGCCAAGTCCGCGGCCGAAGCGCCGCTCCAATGCCGAGCTGGCGGAGCAGGTGGGGGAGCTGCAGCTTAGGATGAAGGAGGTGGGGGAGCTGGTGCTGCGCTGCGCCTCGCCGGTTCCTCTTTTCCGCGCCCCCCCCGCAAGGCGCGCGATACACTCGCCGTGGGGTGAGCTCAAGACCACAAGGCCGGAAGTACCTTGGTAGGGTGAGCGCCAGGTAAAGCCGTAGGGTGGGACGCCGGCAGCGTGTTTTTGGGGGGGGGAGTATTTTCTTTTTCCCCACCACACGCAATCGAGTACATAGATAGCCACACACGCATACGTTCACAAATGCTTGGCACTTAGGACTTAGGTCATAAGCTTCACGGAACCACGCGTGTCGCCCGCCGCGGCCCTAGTCGCTCCCCGCCACAGCGACTGTTGGTCGGCCTCACCCTCAGACTCGCGGGTTCAAGCTCCTCGGCGACTTTTGGATCTCCTCCACGAGATCGGGCATCGGGCTCGGCTTGACCTTGACCGAGCCGTCGATGATCGGCGCCGACCGGTCCGCCGACGCCTCGAGGTGAGGTAAGGTCAGGTAAACTTCTCCATAGACACAGCGTGGTGGGGCAAGGGCCAGGCGCAGCCCTCGCGACTCCCCATGTCTGAAAGACAGGAGCCCCACGGCATTCAAAGTGCAAGGCCCGGTGCGCGTGGGTGAGCGGGTGTAATCGTCACTGTGTATGTGTGCGTGTGCGTGTGCGTGTGCGTGTGCGTGCGTGCGTGCGTGCGTGCGTGCGTGCGTGCGTGCGTGCGTGCGTGCGTGCGTGCGTGCGTGCGTGCGTGTGTGTGTGTGTGTGTGTGTGTGTGTGTGTGTGCGTGCGTGCGTGCGCGCGTGGGTGCGTGCGTGCGTGCGTGCGTGCGTGCGTGCGTGCGCGTGCGTGCGTGTGTGTGTGTGTGTGTGTGTGTGTGTGTGTGTGTGTGTGTGTGTGTGTGTGTGTGTGTGTGTGTGTGTGTGTGTGTGTGTGTGTGTGTGTGTGTGTGTGTGTGTGTGTGTGTGTGTGTGTGTGTGTGTGTGTGTGTGTTGTGGGGAGGGGGGTGTCGACGCCTCGACGTGCTTGAGGGCCGGCGACGCCTCGACAGCGGCGAGCTCCTTCTTGAGGTCCAAAAAAAGAAATCTCCATTGAAGTTTGAACTGGTCTGTTCACACCCGTTCAACGGAGTACTCAAATCTCAGAGTAGTACTCTGGACACGATCCACGGTGACCGCTCAGCCACCTATAGTGCTCGTCGAGCTTGTTACCGCTTTTCTTCACACGGCCATCGCAGAGCAGGTCGTGAATGAGCTTGCCTGTGGCGGGGGTGGGCGGGTGCACGGAGCTAAGTGCCTCGCCACCCTCGCAGGAGTCGCTTAGGCGGCTCCCGTGGTGTACCTGTGTTAGTGCCAGTGCGCGCCAGTCCCGTGCCCAGTGTTGTGCGAGGGAGTTTTGTTGTAAAATTCTTTTTGCCTGTGTTAGTGCCAGTGCGCGCCAGTCCCGTGCCCAGTGTGAAAGAAAGAAAGAAAACAGACAACCCGAGGGAGGGATGGGAGGACGGCACGCCGCCACCACACAGGGATTTTAAGGAGAGGGGTGTGATGCGCTAGCCGTCGCCCACCCTTGGGCTTCCGCCTCTTCCTATCTCTCTTCGCAGTCTCTCGCCGATTGCCCAGTGTTGTGCGACGTAGTTTTTTGTAAAATTCTTTTTGCCCGGCCGCGTTCGAACCGCCGCAGGCCGCTGCTCGCTCACATCGCACATCGCAACCGCACATCGCACGCAGATGGTGCTCGATTCCGACTCTCCTAAGGAGCAGTCCGTGCGCGTCGTGGTGCGCGTGCGTCCCATGAACGAGAAGGAAAACAAGGCCAACACGCTCCCCGTTGTCACGGGCTCGACCGAGAAGCGGGAGGCGAGCATTCACTCTCCGTCTCTCTCTCTTCGCCGCCGCCGCCTCCCTGCTGCACCGACCAAGACCTCTGCCGTAGCTCCCATCTCGACTCCGCTCGGCCCGAGCCGCCCCGCAGCCGCTGGCCGCCGCCGACTCGGCCGCGCCGCCGCCGCCGCCGACGCCTCTCTTCTGCCGCCGCAGGTGACGCTGATCCGCGGAGTGGGCCAGCGGCAGATCCGGCAGGTGTACCACTTCGACTCGGTGTACACGTCGTACTCCACCCAGTGCGAGGTCTTCGAGACCGTCCGCCCGCTCGTCCACGAGGTGATGCAGGGTTTCGAGGCGACAGTCTTTGCGTACGGCCAGACCGGCACGGGCAAGACACACACTATGGAGGGGGAGATCGTGTGCGAGGAGAAGAAGGGGATCATCCCGCGCGCGGTGGAGGCCATCTTCGAGTCGCTGGGCGAGAAGGGGAAGTACGTCTCCTCCGCCGTCTCCGCCTCGTACCTCGAGATCTACAACGAGGAGCTCTCGGACCTGCTCACCGAGGCGAGATGCGGCGAGATGTGGGGAGATGTGGGGAGATACGACCTGCTCACCGAGGCGAGATGCGGCGAGATGTGGGGAGATGTGGGGAGATTCGACCTGCTCAGCGGCTCAGCGAGGCGAGAGGCCGCGCGAGATCGCGCGAGATCGCGCGAGACCGTAGCAGCTCTCCAGCCATGCTTGCCGAGGCGGGGAGATCGGGCGAGGCGTGCCACGCGGCGCGCGAGACGGGAGATAGGGGGGAGATGTGGGCGCAAGAGTGCGAGTGCATGGCTCATCGCGGCTAGACGCCCGACGAGCGCGTGCAACGAGTGAGTGAACTTATGATTATTACTAACTCGTACTTGGTTGATTAGGCGGCCGACGAGCGGGGCGTGTACAACGGCCGCAGCTCGCACGCCGACGGGGCGCCCAAGCTGTCGCTGGTGGAGGACAAGGGAGACGGCAAGCGGCGCGGCAAGGGCGTCTACGCGCACAACCTCTCGGAGCACGAGGTCTGCTCGGCGGCTGACGTGCTCGGCCTGATTGCGCGCGCGCAGGAGCGGCGGCGCGTCGGCGAGACGCGGATGAACAAGCACTCGTCGCGCTCGCACTGCGTCTTCACGCTCACGGTGACGACGCGCGAGACCACATCTGAGGGGATGACGATGGAGAGCACCGGCAAGCTCCACCTCGTCGACCTCGCCGGCTCAGAGTGCGCCAAGACGGCGGCCGGCAGCGCGGCGGGCGGCGGCAGCGGCGCGCACGCGGCGCACGACGCGCGCGAGCGCGAGCGGAAGAACATCAACCAGTCGCTCCTCACGCTGGGGCGCGTCATCTCGACGCTGCGCGATGCGGGCGGCAAGGACAAGGCGCGCATCCCGTACCGCGACTCAAAGCTGACGCGGCTGCTGCAGGAGTCGCTCGGAGGCCGGTGCAAGACTGTGGTCATCGCGACGCTCTCGCCGTCGCAGCTGGCGGTGGAGGAGTCGGCGTCGACGCTCTCTATGAGTAAACTCTTAACTAACTGTTCATTGACTATTAATTAGGTGGAGGAGTCGGCGTCGACGCTCTCATACGTCGAGAAGGCGCAGGGCATCACCAACAAGCCCGTCGCGACGTCGTTCCTCAAGGTTGGCACCGGCGCCGCGCCGGCTGCGCGCGGCGAGGGCGAGGCGGCGGGGTCGATGCAGGACTGGAACGCGCTGCTCACCCGCATGAAGTACCTCGAGGAGCAGGCGGCGGAGGCGGAGGCGGCGCTCGCGCGCAAGCACACGCAGCAGGCGGAGATTGTTGCGCGGGCGGAAGAGGCGGAGGCGGCGCGGGACACGGCCGTGGCGGACCTCGCCGCCATGACTGCGGAGGCGGAGAGGCTGCGCTCTGCCCTCGACGAAACCGAGGCGGAGCGGCGCGGCCTGGCGTACGTCCTCCGCGCGACGCGGCTGACGGAGGAGGCGCTGGCGGCGCAGGCGGCGTCGCTC